CATAACTAAGAGAAACTATAATTATAACTATGCATTCTTCAACTCCATCAAAGACCCCAGAGAATATATTACCTAAGTTAACAGGGAGTGCATTGTATGCAACTTCCAAAACCCTAGAATTGACAGAGACATCTCACTGTCTGGACAATTGCCCAAAGATCTTCTATAATGTTGGTGTGCCCATCTTCAGCCTACAGAGCCATAGTATATGACATACTTTTCCATGAAGCACTGAATTTCAAAGACGTTTCTACCTATATTGTCAGTTTATCAGTCACTTTCTTCTGTGTCCTGCAGAATGTCTGTGTCTGGCAGACCCTTTTATGAATCAGGAACCCCAAAGGACCATCTCACCTTTATACAATCTGAGTTGTTTTGATTTGCATTTCTCTGATGACTAAGGATGTTGAACATTTCCTTAAGTGTCTTTCAGCCATTTTAGATTCCTCTATTTAGAGTTCTCTGTTTAGGTCTGTACTCCACTTTTTTTATTAGATTATTTGTTCTTTGGATGACCAATTTCTTGACTTCTTTGTATATTTTGGAGATCAGTCCTCGTTCTGTTGTGGGGATTGTGAATATCTTTTTCCATTCTGTAGGCTGCTGTTTTGTCTTGTTGACTGTGTACTTTGCTTTACAGAAGATTTTCAGTTTCAGGAGGTCCCATTTATTAATGGTTTCTCTCAGTGTTTGTGCTATTGGGATTATATATTAGGAAGTAGCCTCCTATGCCAATGTGTTCAACTGTACTTCCCACTTTTTCTTCTTTAAGGTTCAGTGTGGTTGGCTTTATGTTGAGGTCTTTGATCTATTTGAACTTGAGTTTAGTGTATGGTTATAAATATGGATTATTTTCATTCTTTTACATTTAAACAAGAAGATGTAAATATTGTACAATGAAACTCTAAAACACCATAGAAGGATATTGAAGAAACCATTAGAACATAGAATAACAAAAAACTAAAAACTCCCATACTCATGAATCAACAGAATTAAGTAAAAATTACTTTTTCACTAAAACAAAACAACAGATTCATTTCAAACCTAGTAAAAATTTATAAGACTTTTTTATAGAAGCAGAACAATTCTAAAATGTATATCAAATTACCAGGTTGTGGGAATCATGTGGCTTCTTTGGAGAACAAGGCCTGAAAATAGCATAGACCGCTCTCCTGTGACAAGACCATGGAGTCTCTGACTTACTTGGAAAAGAGTTGTAGATAGTTTGCTGCATATTACCAGGCATGCCATCTGGAGCATATGTGCTACATGTTCTCCTTGCTTTCACTGTCCTAGCCATAGTGTTGGCCTCAATGATTCATGGTAGCTCTTGAAATTACATATTTAATTTAGTTAATTAATTAATTACATAACTGTTTTGAAAAGAATGACTTTAACCATAAGAGTCTTTGAGATATATTATTAAATAGATGCTATCAGAAGTTAATGGGAAGATTTTCCAAAAGAGGAATGAAACAGAATCATAGAAACCCACATTTCCTTCATTTTTTAATAGCTGTACCAATACACTGTGAAGTTAAGAGAGATGAACTATTGTTGGAATTTAGTTTAATAGTCAATTTGTGGGCAAGATTGGCTCAGTGGGCAAGGTCTTCTCTGGAGATATGTGACCTGATAAAACTCCAGGGGTAAGTGTCAGAGGTTCTCTTAGACTGTAGAGGGCTTTCTGGAAGTGACAGTTTGGTGACCTTCCCTGGACCTCTCCACCATCCTTGGGAACAAAAGGATCATCAGCTGGAAGAACAGCAGCATTTCAGCTTCATTCTTTATTCTGAGTGTACTTTGTATTTTGCACCTGTTTAATAAACCTGCTTTAATTGCACATTAGGTGGTGTCCCATGTTGGGTACCACTAGTAAATGGAAGTTTCACTTCCTGCCTGTCTCAAAACCACTTCTAAATTATTGCTCAGTGGGTTAGTTTTAATCACAGAATGTTTCGTCTGTAGTTCAGGTTTATTAGTACATAGCTCTTACAATTAAATTAACCCATTTCTATTCATCTATACATCATCATTTGGCCCACAACTTACCAGTTCTCTGACATCTTGTCCCATGGGTGGCTGGCTCACATCTCCCCCAGACTCTGTCCTTCTCCTCTCTGTATTTTCAGTATGGCTTTCCCACCTTTCCTTATTCTGCCTTATGATAGGCCAATAATTTCTTTATTAACCAATGAAAGGAATACGTATTCTCAGAATGCAGAAGGGTTATCCCACATCAATAGACAAAAGAACAAGTAATAAACAGTGTCAACTATTAAGAGTAAATTTCCCAATAGATTTATTAATGTAAGTATTTCCATGCCTTCTTAAAACTGAGGGCAAGCAGGACCCAAGTTTTGGTCCTATCATGGGTGCTTGTGAAGGGGGAAATGGGGGGGGGGCAGCCATGATAAGTTAAGTATGGGCAGGTCACTCAAAGAAAGTTCTTTACTTCCAACCATTATCACCTTCCAGAGTAGAACTCAGCCACTGATAAATTTAAATGGAGACTGGGTCTCAGTAATTTAACTTGAGACAATGCCTGGTTTTAGGAGGAACCACAAGCTGAGATTACAAGCACCACCCAAGAACAGACCATTCAAAGGAAATGCCTAGCACTGCAACCACTATAGATAGAAGCAACTGCCAGAACACACTCATCGGGACACCCCTAGACAAATGTCAGCCAATCAGGTTTCCTAAAACCTCAGAAACCCCTCACCATACCTTTACTACTATGAAGACCAAATTCTAACTGAGCTTGAGGCTCTCCAGTTATTTCAATACATTGGGCATGCAGAGAGACTGAGTTTGGAAATTTAATTAAAATAAAGGCTGTTTAAAAAAAAAGAGTAAGTTTCCAAGTTATAGTACTCATAGGATGAAAGGAAATGCTGATATATTCCTACAGCAGTAGTATAGAATATAGAATTGTTTGATCCAGCTTTGACTAGTGAGTTGATCATGAGAACCCAGACCCTATCAGATATAAATATTGACCACTATATACAAAACTATTTCTCACCCTGCATGAAACTGTAACTATATATGAGGTCAACTGGGTACATTATTCTATGTGTAGGTGTGCCCCGTTAGAAAACTTTCTTTGTGACTTGCAACACTCTTCATGCTTCCAACAGTAGAGATGTAGATTAAAATGCAATGACTACTGGTAAGAAAGTTTGGGTAAGCTGGCCTGTGGTGGTGCACACCTTTAATCCCAGCACTCGGGAGGTAGAGGCAGGAGGATCTTTGTGGTCTATAAGAGCTAATTCCAGGACAAACACCAAAGCTACAGAGAAACCCTGTCTCAAAATACTGAAAAAAGGTGGGAACAAACTGGAAAATATTTTAATTTATTTTAGAAACTTAGAAAGTAAACACTGATTTTTTTTAGTAAACACTGATTTTAAAATTGTTAATGCAAATCATTAAAACTGTATAAATAAAGATAGCTTATGCTATACATGGCTACTTCTTTGAACAAAAAGCGATGGTCACAATTTCTTCATGGCGCCAACTTCACATATCCATTGCAGATCATTAAACTCATCTGGATAAAAGTTTACAATAATAAAGGATTCAGGACAGCCAAAGTAATACTGAGCAAAAGTATTTAAAAAAAATCAAATAACATTAAAGGGCAACAGTAAAAATGTTTAGCATTTTTCTGGCATAAAAGAGACATAAAGACTAATAGAACAAAATCAAAGACTGAAATATGAGCCAATGCAATTACAGCTGAAAGAATAACAAACAAATTTTTCCAGGAAAACTGCATGTCCATGTGTCAAATAAAGAGAGTAAACCAATTTCTATCACTTTCCACAAAATAACTTCAAATTGATCAAATACTTCATTTTGATACCTAAAATACCGAGACTGATAAGAAAAAAACATAGTCCCTATCCTATAAGTTATAGGTTGAGAAAGTAATTTCCTGTATAGAACTCCATTTGCCTAGGAACTGATGCCAACAATTGAGAAGTGGAACCTCATAAAACCAAAAAGTTTTATTACAGCTAATAAAACAATATGACAAGTGAAGAAAAAGCCTGCAGAGTGAGAGACAATCTTTGGCAACTATATATTTGAAAGAGGATTAATATCCAGAATATATAAAGAAACCAAAAATGAAAAAGCTGAGAAAACAAAATGACCATTTAGAAACTAGTCTTGGGCGATCAGAGAGTTCTCAAAAGAAAAAAAATAAAAATTGTCATACTGATTTCCAAAGTAATATACAAGTAGCATGCACTCTCCTCAGCAGTGGTAGAGTGATTCCCCTGACTCCACATATTCTCCAAGATAAGTTTTCCTCAGTATTTGATTTTAGCCATTCTCACAGGTATACCATGGTATCTCAGATTTATTTTGCTTTGCATTTCCCTGATGGTTAAAGATGTTGAGCAATTTCTTAAATGTCTTTTTGCCATTTGAGATTTTCTGCTGAAAATTCTGTTTATCTCTGTACACATTTTTAAATTAGATTATTTTGTAATTTGAAGTCTATCTCCTTGAGTTCTTTATATATTTTGTAGATCAGCCCTCTGTCAGATATGGGGTTGTACAGATACTTTGGAAATCAATATGGCAGTTTCTCAGAAAATTGGGAATCAACCTCCTCAAGACTAACTGATACTATTCTTGGGCATATACCCAAAAGATACTCAATCATACCACAAGAACATTTGCTTAAAAATGTTCATAAAAACATTATTTGTGGTAGCTGGAAAACAACTAGATGCCCCTCAACTGAAAAATAGAAAAAGAAAATGTGCTACATTTACACAATGGAGAATTATTTAGTTGTAGAAAACAATGACATCATAAAATTTGCAGGCAAATTGATGGAACTACAAAACATCATCCTGATTGAGGTAACCCATACTCAGAAAGGTGAACACTGTATGTGCTCACTCATAAGTGGACATTAGATGTAAATCAATGGATAAACAGACTACAAGCCACGGTTCCAGAGAAACTAAGTAACAAGCATGGATTGCCACCTGATGTACCATGGTCATGAACTTTCCAAATACGTCAATGCTGCCATTGCCACTATCAAGACCAATGCAGTATTCAGTTTGTGGTCTGGTATCCCACTGGCTTCAAGTTGGAATTAATTGTCAGTCTCCTTCTTTGTACATTCTGGAGACTGGGCCAAGGTCCAGAAAGCTGTGTCCATGCTGGGCCAGACAACCACCACTGAGGCCAGGGCTCACCTAGATCACAAGTTTGATCTGATGTATGCCAAGAATGCCATTGTGCACTGGTATGTGGGTGAAAGTATGAAGGAGGGAGAGTTTTCTGAGGCCCATGAAGACATGATTGCCCTAGAGAAGGAGTATGAGGAAGTTGGTTTGGATTCTCTTGAAGAAGAGAGTGAGAAGGAAGGAGAGGAGTACTAATCTATTCTTCCAGACCCTGGATCATGACAAACTCCCAGAATTCAGATTCAATATTAGTTGACATGAACTGATGCTTTTAATTGTGTTATCTTCATTCTGTGATAATGTCTTCTCCATCTGTCCCTGTATTTTTGACAATAAATACAGTCAAGGATGTGGGCAATGGGAGCTCTCATTTATTGTTGGTGGGACTGCAAACTTCTCCAGCTACTCTGGAAGTAAGTGTGGAGAAATCTCAAAATATTACCAGCAAACCTTCCAAGCTACACTATTCCTTGGCACATGTCCAAAGGTATCTACATCCAACAATACAGATGCTTACTAATCTATGTTCATTGCTACTCTATTCACAATAGCAAGCAAATATAAACAACTTAAATATCCTTCAATAGATTAATGGATAATGAAAATGCCATAAGCATGTACAATGCAACACTATTCAACTATAAAGAAAGTGGAAATAATAAAATTTAGGGTAAATGAGTGTAACTAAAAAATGTTTAAGAGAGTGAGTGAGGTTTATTAGTCAAGGTTCTCTATAGAAACAGAATTTATAGAATGAATCTTTTTATACATGTATATGTGTGTATCTGTGTCTTTATATACACATATACATATATGTGTATATGTATACACACACATTTTTAAGTCATTTATTGGAATGACTTAAAGGCTACAGCCCACATAATAACAAACAATGACTAGTTAATCCAGTCAATGACTAATCCAATAAAATCCAAGAATTCAGTAATTTCTCAGTCTACAAGGTTACAGCACAGCCCAGGAAGCCACCATTTTGAAACACCACATTTTTTTTTCTGCTAGCACTGAATCAGGAAAGCCTCTTTTTAAGGGAGCTGCAGAATGTTGTCAGCAAGTAGAGCCCATTTTTAAAAATGCAGCTAAAGTTTGTTTTTTAGTGTCTAGAATTCTTTCCAACCCCTCTCAGGTTTTATGTGGATTTAGCTAGCACACATTGGAGCACCAAACTGTAGTAGGATAATGGCATGCTTTTGTTGGTATAGGCAGATAAATCACAATTGAATTTTCTTTGGTTTCCTGGCAGTCTTCATATTTGAGTACCTGATAGACACTTTAGAACCTAATAAAATGTTTGAACAGTCTCAACTGTGTCAAAGAGAAGAAAAAGCATAGGACAATGATCCCTGCTTCTTACCCCACCTCATACAACACTAACAGAGAGTATCTATTTTGGAAAAAGTTGACTCTTCACAAATATGAGATATGAAAAATTCATCTGGCAAATTTGAAATACAAGTCTTGAAGCTTTCTACATCTAACTACAGTGAAGATTAAGACAGCCTATTAAAGGTAGATACAAGTAGAAGGAGTTAAAAGCTGGAACCAAGATTTCAAGGTGGACAAAAAAGTTTAAACTAAATAATTGAAGTTATATTGGCATATTTGTAGCAACTACAGCATCTGCAGACAACTTGTATCACTTCTGGACAGAAAGAATTGAACCATAGTTACTTCACCTTAATAAGAGTGAAACTTCCTTTTTGCCTTACATCGGTTTTCTTATGACATTTGTTATCAGTCTAAAGTATGATCATTTAACAAGAAACCTAGCCTGTGTTTCTACTTATAACTCTAACTTGCTATTTATCATTCAATAAGACTTAGTCCTACCACATTCAATTCCTGGCTACCTAGCTCTGTGACTGCATTTGACTTCTGTGATTGCAATTGACTTCTTATTCTGCATAAGTTTCTATAGGAAAAAGAAACTCAGTGTCATATTTGCAATTTTACAGTAGATAAGAGTCTCACTAGATTTACAAACTATAATTGCATTGTTGAAGTGCAGCATCATAAAAAGCAGGTGGAGACTTCCATGTAAAGGTTTGACAGTGCTTGTCTTGATTAGATAGGTTTTAGAATAATACTAAGAAATATTGATAAACTTCTGAGAAATGGAAAAAAAGAAGGGGGTATGATATGGGAAGTATCATTTATTGGAGGGTTACAATGAGTTAGGCTAGAGGTAGATTAATGAATAGTGTCACGTTCACCTCGACTCGCAAAGATGACGTGACACCGGAGCTCTTCCTGCTGACAGTTTATTCAAGACATTTTTTAAAAAATTCTCTCTCTCTCTCTCTCTCTCTCTCTCTCTCTCTCTTCCCCTCTCTCCTGGGCAAACCTCTCCCAGCCCTTAAGTAGGCATGGGCTGCCAACCCCGAACTGCCAGGTGGGCACTGCTCATAGGTTCATGCATATGCAGGCAGCTGATAATCATTGCATGATCATAGCATAGGTCAGGCCTTAGCCATCTCAGGAGTTGATTATACATCTCCATCAGGTGTTACACCACGCTGCGCGCTACAGAATAGCATGGGTTTTGCAAAACAAATACATAAATATAATAGGATTTATTAATGTCAAGCTCTCAAAATTGCTAAGAGGAATCATTAAATATCTTCCTCATTCTCAAAGACCACTAATTGAGATTGAATAGAGATGAGCTTTACGAAAAGAAGTTTTAGGTACCACAAAAAAACAAAACAAAACAAAAAAAACAAATGCAGTCTGTAGACTTGGCTATGTTACTCAGAGCTTCTGAGAGATGGGGTAGCATAATAAAATTCAGTGGGACGTATCAAGAAATCAATTGTGCCAGTCATCAAAAGATATCATACCAAAGACAAAAGGGATGCCAGTAGCAGTTTAAAAATCAGGAAACTAAGCGTACTAAAGCAGATTGGGTGGAAAGAAAGAAATGGGGTCCTTTTGTCTGCAAGGTCCCTGGCCAGCAAGTGGCCCTGATCCCATATCAGGAGATCCATCCATCTGGAGGGGTGAGTGTATGCCTGAGATGCCCCGGAAAGGAAGCACAGGCACCCTCCAATCCCCTAAACTTTCTGTCCATTCAGTGGGGGCATCTCCCTGGCTACTGCCTTTCTCTTCTTATCCCATCCATGCTTACCCCTAATCACCCCTTTCTATCTTTGGGGTCATAGGATCCCCCAACTCAGCCTCAGGGCTGAGGGTCTGGGGACAAAGTGGCGAGTGCAACTGCTGCAGGAGTTTCTTTGTTCCACTGAGACTGCACCCAGCAAGCCCGCCCTTTTGTCTGTGAGGCCTCTGGTCAGCAAGTGGCCCTGATCCTGTACCAAAAGTTCCATCTGGAGGGGTAAGTGCCAGACCAGTCGGCAGGACACCCCAAGAACACAGTCACACCCCAGTCCCCTAAACTTTCTGGCCATTCAGCAGGGCTACTCCCTGGTACTGCCTTTCTCTACTTATCCCATCCCAGCTTGCTGCCCAAATATTTCTTTCCATCTCTGGGGTCCTTAGATCCACCACAACAGCCTACTTTAGGGTGGAGAGGATCTGAGAGACAACTACAATGATGAGGGGTCCTAAGAGAGGGCAGACCAAGAAAAACCCCCAATCACACAGGTAACCACAGCAAAGATTGGACCAAGCTGCCAAGACTCTCCTAACAGCATCTGAAGATAGAGATGGGCAGGTACCAATGCAAGAATTCCTCCAACAATCTGAAAAGAAACCTGATAACACCAGAATCCAGTGGACATACAACAGGAAGTCTTGAACCCGCTAATCCAGAAGAAGTAGAAGAAATAGACTTTAAACGCAACATTATGAAAGTGTTAGAGAACATAAAACAGAATGTGAAAAATTCCTTTAAACAAATGGATGAGAAGACTATCAAAAAGTTAGAAGAAATGAATAAATCTCTCAAAGATATCTAAGAAAACCAAGAAAAAGCAATCAAACAGGTAAGGGAAACAGTTCAAGACTTGAAAACTGAAAAGAAAGCAATGAAGAAAACAAAAACTGAGAGATGGCAGGATATGGAAAATCTGAGTAAATAAACAGAGACTACAAAGACAAGGATAACCAACAGAATATAAGAAATAGAAGAAAGAATCTCAGATGCTGAAGATACTATAGAGGAAATAAACACAATGATCAAAGAAAACAACAAATCCAACAAATTCTTAACAAAAACATCCAGGAAATCTGGGACACCATGAAGAGACCAAACCTAAGAGTAATAGCGGTAGAAGAAAGAGAAGAATTACAGCTCAAAGGTGCAGAAAATATATTCAACAAAATTATAGAAGAAAACTTTCCCAACATAAAGAAGGATGAGCCTATCAAGGTACAAGAAACATAGAGAACACTAAAGAGACTGGATAAAAAAAAAAAAAACAAAACACCTCCCTTTGCCATATAATAATCAAAACACAAGACATACAGAATAAAGAATATTAAGAGCTGCCAAGGAAAAAGGTCAAGTAACATATAAAGGTAAACCTATCAGAATTACACCTGACTTCGCTATGGAAACCATGAAAGTTAGAATATGTTAGATAGAAGAACTGCAGAAACTAAGAGATAATGTATGCAAGCCCAGACTATACCCAGCCAAGCTTTCTTTCACCATAAATTGAGAAAACAAAATATTCCGGGCTAAAAAAAAATTTAAACAATACATAGCCACAAACCCATGCTTATAGAAAGTAATCGAAGGAAAATCACAACCAAAGGAACCCAACAACACCCATAATAACACATCTGAAAACCCTTCACCAGAACAACTCAAAGAAGGGAAACACACAAACTCTACCACCAAAAAATGAATAAATAAATAAATAACAGGAGTTAACAACCACTGGTCATTAATGTCACTTAATATCAATGACTCAATTCACCTATAGAAAGGCACAGGTTAAAAGAATGGATACGAAAACAGGATCCAACATTCTGCTGTTTACAAAAAACACACCTCAACCACAAAGACAGACATTTACTCACAGTAAAGATTTGGAAAAAGGTTTTCAATCAAACGTACATAAGAAAAAAGTGGGTGTGGCTATACTAATATTTAACAAAATTGACTTCAAACTAAAATCAATGAGAAGAGATGGAGATGGACATTTTATTTTTTTAGTTTTTTTCAAATTTATTTATTTATTAAGGATTTCTGCCTCCTCCCTGCCACCGCC